GGGTCGAGACTTCATTCGTCGAAAACTCACCGATAGACAATTATTCAAGACTCTGGACTTCGAAACATTTTCAAGACTCTAGACGAACATCATATTTAACATTCGAACATCTACCGATAGCGAGCATAGTCAGTCTGGTAAGGTTTAGTGTATGTGTCCTACGAAGCTCTGATATTACATGACTTCAGTGTTGGCAAAATCATCAACCAGTAATATTTTTCCGCTATCACGCGTGATATTGGAACAAAATATCATGTTTGATATTGATTTTATAAGCTCCTTTGATATTGTGAGACTATTTACAACGTGCTAAAATTAAGCTGAGAGCTGACTCGACACAAAAATTATTTTGTTCCACATCGTTTTCCTAGAAAGAGAAAGTAAAGTTTGCTATCTCTTTTTACTCTTCAACGATGGCAGACACGAAGGGACTGCTGCCAGCCGTTATGGAAGTTTCGGTTCCATTCGGGTGTAAAGCAAAAATCATTAAACTCAATCTCACCACAGTTAGGTGAGATTTGCAGTTGGTGAGTATTGTTAGCTTGATATTCCGAGCTGCGATATCACAGCTTGCAAAATCAACCGCAGATGTTTGTTTGTTGATTTTTGTTTACGAAAATCAAGCGTGATCTTGGGCATTGGTGAGATTTGATTTTTTGATATTTTTCCGACACTTCATCACTACCGATATTACGACGTCGACCTGCAAGCACTATGCAGCGAGTTCCACCCCACGGAATTGAGGTTGGTGGAACCGAAGGCCATCCAATGGGCACATAACGGGCGAACAACGGAAGGATCATCCAGGCAAGGCATTAACTATCAAGCTCAGGGTTATCAACCAGGATATAAAGCGCCCCAGAACTGACTGTCACCGATATGCAGGAATAGGAACGCAGCAGCTGGAAGGTAGATATAAATATCATCGACCTGATACCTAAGCCATGAACGGAACTTGGTGGACGGAGAGCGGATTGCCTTTATCATCAGCGGCAGATGCAGGTCTGCGATGGTGGGTGACAATTCGATGTCCTATTGAATCCTTTTTCGAAGGGACGTATCAGCTTTTGTAAGCAATGCATTTGATCGCCGATTTCACGTAACTGGCAGTTCGCCCAGGCATCCTAACACTACCATCAGATACGTCCCTTCAAAAAAGTAATCAAGTACTAATTTGGATAGTAATCAAGTAATAATTTGGATAGCACAATCTAATCTCTGACTCTGCAGGAGGATGGTTGGAGTAGAGCCACAATCAGGGCTGGTAGCGATCGCTGCTGTCAAAAATAGTGATTTTAGTGACCATGTTGAAGAAATAAGTGACCAAATAGTGACTTATAGTTGCAAACATAGTGATTAAAAAGCGACCTAAGGGACGAAAATTAGTCGTTCTGATGGCATACCAGTTAAATTTTTGATGCTTTAGACTTATTTAATTAGTATCTCATAAACACTTATGTACGATATGAAGCCTTAAAGCGAAAGATTCAATAGAAAGTTTATGTCGAAATCCATGGTATTAGCCAAGGTGTCTACTAACTGCAAAAACCTGGAAAACCGAGAATCCCCATGAAATTTTATATTTCCTTAAAATACCTGGAAGTCCCAGAGAATTTAAAAATTTTCTTACTAAGGATGTTTTAAATAAAATAATGAATTTTAAAATACAAGCATTTAATTTTTCTCGTAATTTTCATTCACACTTTGAACATTATAGATCCATAAAACAGAGGCTTGAAATGTTTGTTTTTTTGGTTTTGGAACATGCATATATCCTAGAAATTTTAAATTTGAACTAGCTCTGGACTTAAAGGCTATAATACTTCAAGAAATTTTCAAGAATCTGGAGTCAAATTTCATGCACAGTTTTAAAGACTCGTGGAATTTTATTATAATTTCTAAGGATTACAAGGGAGTCCCGGGGATTTTTTTTTTCAGATACACATCAAATGCAATCTGCTTTCAAGGTAGTTCTGAGCAAGTTTAGATTTCATGTGAAGTTTTGAGTGTAATTTCTAGAAACCCCGAATTGAATTAAAACTCTTTGGAATTTCTGAGGAGCACCACTCCTGTGAACTTCAGAGGAAAATTCCTTGGGCATTCTGAGAATAATTTTATAAATTTGTGGGAGAATACGAATCCGGAGCATAAGACCTTGGATTTTTTTTGAAAATACTAAAATTAAATCTGAGAATAACTCCAGGACATCTTCAAAGGAATTTGGAAAATAAATTCAGGAGAGTTTTTCAAACAAATTATGAGAAGAAATCAAAGGAAATTGTGAGGAGAAATGCCAATGAATTCTTAGGACACTTTCAATGTGAGTAGAATTCCAAGGGAAGAAGTGAGATTCAAAAGGAAATCTGAAATGAATTAATTAAAATTCGGAGAATATTTCCAAAGAGATTCTTATTGTGAAGAATTTCAAGGTAATTACGGAGAAAAAAAAATAAATTCGGTCAATAGCTTCATGGAACATGGAATGAACCATTCTGAGGTCTTGAGAACTACTTGAAAGTTCCCAAATGTCTCCTGAAGTTAAGGAAACTGCCTTGAAGTTCTTTTGAAGTTTGAAAAACTAGCCTGATGCTCACAATACTTCCCGTCAAATTCTTATAATTCCCTGAGCTTTATCCTAATGTTTCCTCAATTTTTCTAACGATCATGGATCTCCTCTAAAGGTTTAACAATTCACTGAAGTTTTCTAAACTTCTAAAAAAATTCTGTGACTTCTCTAATGTTAAAGGAACTGCTCTGAGGTTCTCTGTTCTTTTCTGAAATTCTCAAAACTTCTCTGAAGTTTCTGCAGGTCTCATGAAGCTTGTTGTACTGCGCTGAATTTTATTGAACCGTCCAAAAAATGTTGAAATAGGAACTGCTTTAAATTTATCACTAATTTTCTGAAACTAAGGAACTGCTCTCCCCCTGGAATTCCTCCAATTTTCGGAGCTTACTGAACTTCTTTCAAATGCTCCCGCATTTTGCCAAAGTTCGCTTTTTAATCAATATATGTGCTATGTTGCGGGTGGATGACGAATGTGCTGTGTTTGTGAACAAATGGTTGTAAGGTACCCCAAATAAGCGCCTACACCTGCTCTTATAAAGGCACCCAAGATGTCCCACCCCAGGAACGGCTGTGCCAATTAATTACCACCATAAACGGTGTTGGGAAGGGTCCGGAAACTCAACATTATTTAAAATTAGAAATTCATAACCTTCCTCAAACTACACCGAGTAATTATGCAGTATGAAACCAAGTGCAGGCCAGTAATCGCACACAGAACAACCTTCTTATGTGATGTGCGCGAGCTTCAAGACGATTTCTGCATAAGAGTGATGGCGTACATCAACGAAGTTTTCCAAACTATTTAGTACAAAGTTCCCACTTCTTCGAAATTTTTACAAAGCGTCCTGAATTTCTATGAAATTATCTGGGCTCTACGAAGTTCCCCGAAATTCAATTTTATTTATTTTATGATGTCCCCTGAATATCTACACAGTCCATGAAGTTTTGCGATGTTCAATGAAGTGAAGGAATCCCTGAACTTCAACAAGGCTCCCCGAATTTCCCCAGAATTCTCTACATACAAAATTTGAAGAAATTTTACCAGAAGTAATTATCCCCCCAGAACTTCTTCAAAATTTCCTGAAGATCTATAACATTCTCTACACTTTTACGAAGTTCACTGATGTTCTATGAAATTCATTAAGCTTCAGTAAACTTCGCTAAGCTGTTACAAAGTTAGCTGAACACCTATAAAATTTGAAGCCCGTCTAAAAAATTTCTAAGCGGTTACGTGAACTTCTAAGCGGTTACGTGAACTTCTACGAAGTTTTCTGAACATATATGTAGTTCCTTAAAGTTCTACAAAGTTTCCTAAACTTTTACGAAGTTCCCCGACCGATTAAAAAGTTATCTGAAATCATATGATTTTCTCTTAACTTCTTTGATTTCTACGACGCAATTCTCTCAACTGTCCTGAACTAATGTAAATATTCAATTATTTAAATCTAAAATATTGAACACCCTCCCGCGCCAGTTAGTTTTAAAAGCAACAGTGAAGCCATTTCATCAATTTCGTTGAAGATTTTTTTCTTCAATGCACGCCTGGCATTCCTGCAATTCATAAACATAGGACAGTGCTCTCCTTTGACTGGCTCACATGGGTAGAAGATTTTGTGCCACCATGCGTCTCCATGAATTTCTTATCACACGTGCCTACCAAAACTGATTTTCTCCAATCTTCGTTCTGTTAATTAACTTCTACCATTCGTTAATAATGCCTATGGCACTGATTTCAAATGGGTATTTCTTGATAAAGATTTGTAAATAGTTCCCATGGTAATCAAACCTTAACAAAGAAACAAACTGAAACGACTCACACGGGCAGTTTGTTCAACTCACGAGCTGCATAAAGATTCGGGAATCACACACAAAAAAAAAACGCACTAATCTTCCCTTACCACGCATCAATCAAACAAAAGACTGGCTGTTTAAGTCACTTAAGTGGCTCCCAGAGCCAAGCGGAGTGGTGTAGCTTCCATTGCATTGGGAAGCTAACCTAGAGCTACACATAGAGAGAGTACACTGACTTCAATTGTTTAACACGACCACACACATTTTTCCCTCTGGGCCACTCGAAAAAGTGAAACAATTTCCATACACTCACGCACTCAAAACGTGAAAGACATTCGACATTGTGCATTCAACAATCACGCAAAGTAGGTCTCTCGAGTTGAGAGGAGGCGATGGGTGGTGGGAGGGGGGGGGGGGGGGAGCGTGTTTGAACTTTACGATGACAAATTTCCTTAAAGTGAGAGAAACCACCACTCCGTGTGGTTCGTAAAATAGGGAAAAACGGAAAGGTGTGTATGGAAAGGTTGGCAGGAGATACGTTACCTAACTTCGGCGAACTTTCAAACACACAACACGTCACCGTCCGTCGTCGCACAACTCTTGTGTTATTTTTTGTTTGTTTCCTCTCCTTTCAGATCTCAAGTGGTGAGCTCTTTTAAGGTGAGTGATCGACTGAGAGACAGGTAACTCGCGCGATCGATACGTATTTCCGTGTTTGTGTTTGTGTATGGGTCGGTATGTGGGGTCCCCAACACTGACTGCTTCTTCTGCTGACTGCTGCTGGTATTGCTGCTACTTTTTACTCTTTTATTTTTCTACGCTTTAGACCTTAATCCAACACTGCTGCACGGCAAATCGCGCACCAATTTGAGCACTCTGAGGTCGGAAATTTATTGCACGACTTTCACACACTTTTCTTCCAATAGACTGATCGAGTGATCGATATGCACATGCACTTCTCTACTGCGATTTACCCGACGTCGACTACGATGATTATGGTGGAGATAGATCGCACTCCCTGGTTACCCTGGAAACGCAGAAAAGATGGCTCACTAGACGGCGATCGACGCGCGACTTGATAGATGTTCGAAACTAGATTCCAGAGCCCCCTGCGAGAAGGCTTCTCTTCGGTGCTCGTGGTTTTCCCTATACTATTTGCCCTATACACTAAATACTTGTTTTTTTTTCCTCTATATTTCAGTGCAGTGTATAATCTTTTGTATTTGTCTCGCAGCACACGACGGAGAGGTGACTCTATATGTGAGGCTTTGGCTCTTCTCTCTCTTTCCGTCCGCAGGCGCGGGGAACCTTTTTCTGGCTCTTTCGATCTGCTTTTTGTCTGCCCAGCACTGATCTATACACACCTCTCTCCTATACCGACACAAAGCGATCGCGTATGCGAACTATTATAATGATACTTCAGGATTGGAATGATGATTTAACCATAGGGGAAAAAAATGGTTAGTGAATGTTTTAGACTACTTTTTTATTTTGCTACATAGGAAGTTTTTTAAAAACGAACACAGTACAGTCCAAGAATCTACAAAATGGCAATGTTGGACAAAAGCTTAGTAAAGAAAATGTTTCCACAATGTCGTTAATAACTGCACAGTGCACTTTGAAGCACATACAAAACGAATATCAGAAGCACTGTAATTTGCACTGAGGAAAACCACACACAAAAATCACACAAAACGCGAAGCGGATCCCTCTCGATCAAAAATCCCCAAGTAAACAAGAAAAATGCAAAAATGAAATAAAAAAAAACAAGCGATCAATCGACAAACACTGAGCACTGAATAGTAGTAGCTCCAAGTAGGCGAACACAAATCTCACAATAAAGCTATATGAAGCGGCGCGAGAAGCACACTCGTTCAGCTGTACATTGGCACTGACCGAGCTTCCCGACAGCAACTGGACTCGAGGCAGGCAGGCAGGTCAGGCAGCCAGCAGATGATCGCAACGACGATCGGCCGAACTGAGCCGAACCGAGCTCGGCAAATGGAACTAACTGGAATGGATGATGAAAACAGGAAAAAAAAACATGGCGCTACAGGTGGCCTCAACTAATCAGAACCACTGGAGGTAAATTTTGCAGCTTATTCGATGCAGAATGGCATAGTTTTTGGGTGCAAAATTTGACGTATTTGGGTTTCTAGAAAATTGACATCTTAGTTAACGAGTAGATCGCCATTTGCCGATGATCAATCAGGCGAAGGATCGCCTTAAGTGGAATCGACTGCACCACCGTCGACGACATCATCATTATCGGCAGTGTTTTCGTTTTGTTTTGTGTGACGATGAATGATCTTCGCGGTTCACTCACACATCTATACGCCTCACAGATCGGGAAGGTGGTGAGGCTGAAGGAAATCCCTTTCGATACAGCTTTGCACCCGTTTGCACGCATGATGGGGGCAGCATATCGCCTTGCAGGAGCATATAAATATCATGGTGTGGCGACAACGGTATGCGCGTTAACAGTAAGAAGTGCAATATTATCAAGATTGTGCTGGAAACCAGCAAAATTATGCTGGTTTTTGCCGAACTGAAAAAAGCAATCCTTCCAGCAGCTGAACATCAGGCAATTGTTTTTGACAGAGGTTTGCTGGACATTCAGCAGTTATTAAAACGTTATTCTCTGTATTTCGATCTAAATTAATAATAATAAAAAAAAAAAAAAACAATTGAAAAAGTTATAAATTTACTCATTTCTTTTTGAATGTACATTGTTCGATTGTGAATTGAAAACAAAATATACTATAAAGAAGTGTAGCCATCTCTACACTGAAACAAGGACCATAGTTTGGAAAACTATTTTGCAGAAAACACTTATTTTCAATATAACCACGCTTATTACTGCTTAGGTTCAATTTACTTTGATGCTTTTTGGAAAATTTCAAAAGCAACTTTTTCCGACGCATTATTTCAGATTGCAAAAAGCTCGCACTATTAGATTCCTTTCGATATTTTACACAAAATGATGCGAGCTTTTTGCAATCTAAAATAATGCGTCGAAAAAAACTGCTTTTGAATTTTTCAAAAATGCATCACAGTAAATTGAACCTTAAATCTACTATGAATTCATTATAGTTGGCTATGAATGCTAGGGTTACCATATCACAAACTTGAAAAGGAGGACATTTCATTTGAGGATTGGAGACTAAGGAGGACAATGATTCCTTTTCTGAACATTTAATGAGGACAATGAGTTTTTATCAAACGTTTTAATAATTTGTGCGCTATCACAAAATTCATGATTTGCTAAGGTTCAATTGAGATTATTCATAACTTGTAGTAGTTACCAATTCAATTCATCTTTTCGTTATACTTTTGAAAAATGCATCAAACTAGCCTTCATAATTTATTTTTGATAGGGGAAATGTCGGCTTCGGCAATACCTTAACCTATTATCGTCAGGGGGTATAGCAAGTCCTAGAGGAATTGATTACTGGTTTGTCTGAAATAAGTCTGGTTGAATTTCAGGCGAGATTTCAGGTTTATTTGAAAATTTTCCATCTGTCAAATTTAAGTGAAAATTCACCAAATGAACCGCAGCCTAAATGTAGGGGGGTTGACAGCAGTAGAATACTCCTAGTCCCACCATCGAATGGCATTTGCTAGATAAGATGAGGTTGCGACATAATTAAACAAATAAGCTCTACAAACAACGCTCTTTGAAAGCAATTTTATGAATACGTTACTGGAAAAAATACAAGGTTTAAATAGGAGGACATTTTCGGGCAAAAGGAGGATGTAGAAAAATTATTGAAATGTCTCTCAAAACAAAAAACTAACCCATCTGGTGGATGATGGCACAAGCTTCCAAGAAAATTCTATTACAGTGAACGACATTATTTTAATGGATTTCTTCGCTAGTTAGTCCACAAACGAAGTGACAGACGACTAACTGGCGAAGAAATCCATTAAAATAATGTGGTTCACTGTAATAGAATTTTCTTGTAAACTTGTGCCATCATCCACCAGATGGGTTAGTTTTTTTGTTTTGATTTGAACAAAGTTGATTTTGTGTACAATGATTCTTTGACAGTGTGCAAAGAGTGTATCATTTTGTCATTTTTTTATGCATTTCAGTTTTGAGTAGAGTGAAAGAGATAGAACCAAAACATTCTAATACATTTGGTGAAAATGCTAGTACAATCCAGTAGTAGTGTTGCCATGTGGTAAAATCCAGTAGTAGTGGTGTTGCCATGTGGTACACTGAAAAATTGAAATAGCAGGTTAGTCACCAAAGTTTTCGAGCCGCTCCGTCTGTCACTTCGTTTGTGGTTAGTCGTCTGTCACTTCGTTTGTGTTATAACTCTCCAGTCTGGACAGCGTTTAAATGAAGGAGTTTAAGCAAGCGGACAACAGATTAGTGGGAAAATAAACCATCCATTATCCCTGTGTGCTAGATAGAGAAAGGCGATTAAACGTCAAAAAGGTCAATTCCCAACTTATCCATTCTGCATGCACACAAATTATCAAGCAATACGTGCAGTTTCTCGCAGTTTTTAGGTCAACCGCGAAGCACTCTGCCATAATCGCTGTCAGTTTTCAACGATCTCATTAAAATAAACGATGGACCACTCGTCCATAATCGGTAAAGGAGACAAAAACATCAAGCGCATCATGGAGGAGACGGCAACGCACATCCATTTTTCGGACTGAAACCGATCGAATCCGCTGGAGAAGTGCAACCAGGTGTCGGTGTATAGTAGCATGGAAGGTGCCGAACTGCTGATCCTAGCCCCGGGAAAATCCTCACCGGACAACGAAACCTCCTACGTCGAACAGGTCGAAAAGGAATTATTTTTTCTACTCGGCCTCGACTCGGCCCAAGTTGTACTCGTGGCTGGGGCTGGTCATGAGTTTGGAGAAGGAAGCCGCCCACTGGCTGATGGAATTTCTGTGCGCAAATTTTGCGAATCAAATTCCCGTCAAAATACAGCTGGGAATATGAACCGGAACCTAGTGATTACTTATACCAACAATCAATACGAAACTAACGATTTTAAATTGGCTCACTACTTGACTAGCCTATTGGTCCCAAGCAAACGATTAACGTACCCTATTCTAGTTGAAATTCTATTACTACACTATGTTTGTTTTGATTCGCTATGAAAGTTTGACAGATAACATCAGGGGTGTGTGGATTCATGCAGAACATGCAGGGGTGAGTGAAATAGCTTGGGACTGCTTGGGACCAGGGCTCTACAATTTCGAAGCTCTAAAATGAACTCGTGTTTTGTTTCTCTCATACATACGTGTTCGACACTTCATTTCTATAACGCCTAGCTAGACTATCAGCAAGAAACGAAAATAAAAAAGCAGGACGCTTAGAAGGAAAGGCTGGCTGTGGAACTTCTCGTCGTTGCTTTGCTCATCGCTTTCAATGTAACTAACGTCAATTTTCTAGTTAAACGAAGCTCATTATGGCTTTCAATCCCCTTTCACGAACACTCTATTACCGCTCTTTCAATTTGTTTAAAATGCGTTATGTCCCGTTTTCGATCATTTTTTTTAGATAAATATATGGATGGAAGATAAATTAAAAATATGACGTGTAATCTTCAAGTGTTTTGACGTGAGAAATGCTTTAAATGTGTTATTTCATTTTCCGTCATATACGTCATGAAACCTCTGTTGATGTGTTTCATGAAAGAGAAAACTATCAAAGTCGAACGCCCTTTCGCTCATCCGTTTCGACGAAGCTTGAAAGGAAGACCAATGGAGCGACGGGAGAAAGAGAGACAAGCGATTGAACATTTGTTTGTGCACGTCGACTGAGGTTCTAGAATGCTGCGAAGCGGTTCGACTTTAACAGAAAAAGAAAGCCAGCAGTCTCTTCGTCGCATCGATTTGGTCGATTGAAGCTGACATTGTGACGCCCTGCTTGGGACCGTTGTTCTGGTACTGAGTGAGCCAAAAATAATAATGATTTTCTTCGGGACCCAGTGGTCTTAGAGTTACCTCTATGCTTATACCACAGATAAAAAGACATACCATTCGTAAGTTGTTCATCGA